TCCTGCATAAAACCTTAATTTAAGGAGAATAATGGTCAGTACTTTGTGTGTTTCCTTATGATTCCAAAACCTAAATTTACTAAGAATCTGCACGTATTAGCAATTGTAATAAAAATCGTTTCACTGGTTCTTTTTGCAGTTTAATTTGTTTTCGCTTCTTAGCTACTCCCAGATTTAGAGACTGAAAAGTCCAAATATCACAAGCTTATGCTTTGTTCCTTTTTTGCAAAATTAAGGGGGGAGGAGGTAAAGTAGAAATATTCTTTTCACAGCTTCCCCCTCATCATTTATCCCACAGAAAAGAAAAACAATGAAAAATTTTACAGCATGAAACTGAAAGTGAAGTGTCACAGTTGTTCGGGATTTTCTTTAAAGAGAATAACATACTGTATTAAAATATTTGAGAACATGCACATTGCTTTTACTTACATGCATTTAATGAAAAAGTCTTTTATCCAAAAAAAATAATAAAATTCGTCTTAGACTGCTCCAAAACCATGCAGCCTATTTTTTTCAAGGCACTAAAATGAGCTTTAAAATACAAAAATAAAAAATAAAAGCATACCTGGTTTTAGTTTTTAAAAAATAAATTTGAATATTAATTTGTTTTTTTATTGGCTTAATTGTTCAAATGCAAGTAAGAATCAGAAACCACCTGAGCTAAAATCTCTAATTCTGCTGCCTGGAATAATAAGGGGGAAAAAAAATATGATAAGTAGTTGTCAATATTAAAACAGGCTGAAGGAGGAAGGCTTCGGGCCTTGTAGTGGGTAGAATGAAACAGCAGATTTGAGTATCCACAATCCTTTCAGTATTAAATTTTCAGTAAAATAAAATTACTTGTATATGAAAACATAGCCTTTCCCCAGCTCTCTTTTTTTTCCTGATCAGCTGATGAAGAGACTAGCAGCTCGCTGCTTTGCTGGCTTGTTAATTTTATCCCCACTAACTGTGATTTCCGATAGCCGGCCTGCTGATAGTGGTAAGGTAAATATCCTTTCTCGTTGCCGTCTTGAAGATTCAGTAGAACTACATCCCAGGCATGTGTAGGTGTGTAACACATCAAAAGCCGGTGTTCTCCGTATTTCTGTGTGTAACTGGGTGCTTGAGGAGAGCAGTACCATTAACTGTTGACAGCCTTGCATGCTGTATTTATTATTAGCATGTTCAGCCTCCAAGATTTGCGGGACAATTTCCTTTTCTTGATCTTCGCTTTAGCTGCAGTGTGTTTAGCTGTATAGTGGGTGTCCTGCTTTTAGGCAAATGAATATTAATGAAATAACGTGGAGCTTTTTTTTTCCTTTTTCTTTTTTCTTTTTCCTCATAACCCATCAGACCTTGCCTCCTTTATAGTGGTTATCATCTGAACACTGTAGGATCGTGATGGAAATTGTCTTTTGATTATTAAGGCCTAGGCTCAGACTGTCCCTTTAGGATTCTGTCTGTGTGCATGTTGCTTCTCTGGGGTTGCACGTTGGAAGATGCGTAGAAAACCTTTTTTTTTTTCTTTTTTTTTTAAATCCCACTGGCATTTTTAACATGCCAGGTTGTTTTGTGTTCTGCACCAGGTTTTCTTCACAAAACCTTTCTTTTTCAGAAGGCATTGTACATAAGTGAAAGAAATTATGTCTGAGCTGTAATCACCCTTTATATTGATTGTTATACTCACATGATCATAAATATTAGCCATGTTTGGTGCTGTGGAGAAATGAAGGTAATTGCCTGATGATTAGAGCTCTTTTCAGCCACGAGACATACTGGAGGCAATATTGAGGGGCAGGAGGAACAAATAACATCAGTTATTTTGTGTAAGAAACCAATCTCGAAATGTAATTTCAAGGTCTTTTTAAAAATCTTCTTTTCCATGGTCAAATTTTCTCTTATCTATTGTTGTTTTTTTCTTTGCAGTTTTTGTTTTTGTTTCTGTTTTTTTTTTCCCTTTATTCTTCTTAAGTTTTGAGATTTCCTAGGGGGAAAAATAAGTTTAAACTTCTGGGTCTGTCACATGGATCTTTTAGCCATTTATGAACAGGTTTCTTTTTATACCTGGTTGTTTTTATAGCTATTTTATTATCTCTCTGCATTAGTGCTGCTGGCTCTGGTTTAAAGCAAGCGTTTGCAGGTAATTGGAAAAAAGTGTTTTTTGTTTGTGTGTGTGTTCTTGATCTGGATGATTTAAGTGCGTTTACCCAGGAATGTGGCTTTGTACTTCCTGTTTCCTTGTTTACTAATTGCTACGTTAGAAGAAAATCTGGATGGAATTTTGATCGTATGTTGTGGATCACGAATAAATTGATGTTAAACCTCAAAGAAGAGAAGATCAAAGCTTATGTGATTGTAAGGATGTAGTCTTAGGGAAATTTCTTCTTCACTCACCCCTTTTTTTGGTTTACCTTTTACCTTCTACAGTAATGAGACAATAAAGGTCTTTTTCTTATATTGAGCTGAAATGTCATTTGGTTTTAGTTATCTTCAAACACTTAAATGTATAGATCTTTTCATATTTGTCACATTCTTTGCTATTAGTGTTTCGGGCCTTCACATATTTTGCTCATGAAGCAGACTTGGGTTAAAGATGCATTTATCCAATATGGTGGTCTTCTAATTTTTCTTCTTACTTCACTGATTACTGTTAACTTTTACTTTTTTGTTGTTGTTGTTAGTTTCATTTTATTCTACTTATGTAAATTGTTTTCTTTTCGGTATTCTCTTGTCTTGAATTTTTCTCCTTCGTTCCCTATTAACAGGCCATTGAAGACGGCAATTTGGAAGAAATGGAAGAGGAAGTACGGCTTAAGAAGCGAAAAAGACGAAGAAATGTGGATAAAGATCCTGCAAAAGAAGATGTGGAAAAGGCCAAGAAGAGGAGAGGTCGCCCTCCAGCTGAGAAACTGTCACCAAACCCCCCTAAACTGACAAAGCAGATGAACGCTATCATTGATACTGTGATAAACTACAAAGACAGGTGAGCGTTTCATTCCTTCACCTCCATCATCTTCATCAAGACCACAGGTAACGCTGCCTGCAGAGCAAGATTTATTAAGGTGTACGCTGGGTTCCGGGCCCTTTCTGCCTCCTGTTCGATGGTTTTTGCTCCAGAGGTATCAGTAAACTTGTACTCTGTTCAGAGAGGCTGCTCGTGATATTTTGTGTGATATTTTACCAGGTGTTATTTAAGGTATTTGGAAAGAGGAGTTTAGATGACAAAATTAAAGGAGAAAAACCCTAAGCTGGAGAAGGGTTCTTTAAGGATTTCCAAAATACTATCACTGATGTGGAAGGATTGGAAAGAGAGTGAAATTATACCTTTGGATTGAGGTGTTAGAGGAGAAAAAGAGTCCTATCACATATTTAACGTAAATGTTCATGCTAGGACTTGTTTTAAGCCAAACCGATGCTTCCATCAAAATTACCGTTCCTTCTTTCCTTCCAAGACACTTGAATTTCTGAGCACTTGTTCGAGCCATCTCCCTCTTTTCTCATAACCCTACCTAGACAGGATGGTTTTTCAACAAATTTCCCTCTTTTTCATGGAACTTTTGAATGTGAACTTTGAGAAATCTGTACTGGACACTATCCCCAGGCCATTTTTAAACAATAAACAATTATTTGAAAACCAAAGTAAAGATGTTCTAGGGTGTCAGGCAGCCCTATATAGTCGATAAACTAGTTAGGCTACATTTTGGTTGGTTGGTTGATTTGATTTCTACTCAGTAATCATGTGATGCGGTTTTAATAGGAAGATGACATCTCATTTCAGTTGAAAAATTGAAACTTTTTTTCCTCTAAGTTACATAGTGGCATGAATCAGTTTTTCGTTACCAAAAATTCTTGACATTCACTGGTGTTGCTCTATATAACTGGAATCGTTTACTACAAATAAGTTGTGCTTTTAGTTCTTCGTGGTAATTTTAGTTGCATGTCTTCATACGAGGAAGAAAACCTCATCGTGAAGATTAAGTAGTATCAAAAGCAAGAAACTTTCAGTGGGGTTTTACTGATAGCTCCTTAGAGAAAATATAAAGACTTTTCAGAAATGGTGAAAGGGACATAGGAGCAGATGCATGCGGAAGGGTCAGAATTTCTTGCTCGTCTCTGCCTACCAGGTCTCTCAGGTGCCCTGCTTACTATTTTCACTATTATTTTCCTTTTTTTTTTTTTTTTTTTAAGTCATTCCCTTTGAGCATTCTAAAGTGGCCACAAAGGGCAGCCCCATTACATTAGGTTTGGATAAGCTGTTCATTGACACAGGGGAATGACGGTAATCTAGGAAGGAAAATTTGGCCACAAGATCATTCTTTGCCCAGATGAACATGCCAACTTCCTCGTAAACCCGGAGTCAGTAATTCTCTCTGTCAAGTTTCTGTTCCTCCCCAGCTGTACTGGTAGATTGGCTGGAAGCAGGAGTAGTTTCCAGGAAGCTGGGTTGGACAGTTACACCTTATTTTATCAGCCCCTGGTGTAGAGAAAAATAAGCAGAGTATCACTCTGCACATATCTCTAACTTTTTGCCTTTGTCCCGGGAGAGTGAAAATGCCTGTGGCTTGGACCAGGTGTGCCTTGATATCTAACAGGCATTGTGTTCATTACCTGCTGAGTGAGCCTAGGGCTGCTGTAACATTGAGAAGAGCCAAGAAAGTCCTTGGAGGTTTGGAAGCCGGGCCTTTTATGCCAGGTGATGGCTGTCTCCTCCTTTAATGGTGTAAAACGAGTCACCAGCCAGTGGACCATGTACTGCCAACAGATGGTTTTATTTCATGTTTCTCTTTTTTTTTCCCTTTTTTTTTTAAGCAAACACATAAAGCTGGAGAGAGTTCTTATGAAAATGTCAGGGTTTCCCCCCTCCTCCCCCTTTTTGGAAAAATCTAAAAATCTGGCAGCACTCTACCTAGCCTTCCCTAAGGTAACGGTAGGAGTGGAACCCACACCCCAACCCGTTGCAGACTGTCTGCTCTAGGCAGCCACCATCCCCGTCGCTCACTATCGTCCCTCCAATATGGAGTGTCAGTTGCCATTTATCATCGTGTTTTTCACACCTGGCCCACTTCACTCCTTTATACCACCTGCTGGCTCTGTAGCCTATTAGGTTTGTGATTTCCTGACGCACAGGGCTATGGCCTGATGACTTTTCCAGAACCCACCCCCAAATACAGAGGAGTATGAAGTTAGGTCTCTTTAACCTCAGCTAAGCATAGCACAGTAGTTTAAGCTCTTGTCTTGGTTGAACTCCCTGCCTTTGAATCCTGTCTCTACCATTTACTACCTGTGGAGCAGCTGGGCAATTTACTTAATCTCCCTGATCCTCAGTTTCCTAGTCCACAAAATGGAATGATTACTGTACCTGCCTCTAGAGGCATTAGGAAGATTTGGTGAGTTAATATAGCTCTTTGAACAGTTTAATTATTAATAATCAGCCTTTCAGACAATTTATAGCAAATCAGGTAGGTGAATGGAGCTCTGAGCACTATAAAGAAAATGTCCTTGCTCATACGGCTTTCATATTGTTATTTCCAAAACCAGAAAACACAGCTTCACTGGGAATGATGACTGAGCATGTCTTTGCTTGTACTATAGGGAGAGGCTATTTAAATATTTCAACCTGCAGACACTGAATCGTTTGTTTGTTTTCCCCCTTTCTCTGGTTTTATTTATTTGTTTTACTTTTCCTGAAAGTACCCTGGTAAGGCCCCCCCATTCTGTTACTGCCCACGTTTAGGTGCTTCTGGGAAGTGTGTTCTAAATTCTCCACTGCTACATGTCTCATGTATATTTCGTGTTAGTGGTCCTCTAGAAAAAAAAGCACTTACTCAGTTTATGTTTTTTTATGTCTCTTACCAAATTTGGTGCTCAAGTAGGAGGTACTCAAATTAGGAGGGCCTTAATTAGATACATCATATTTTTGGTTGGTTTTAGAAAATGCTGCTGAGAAATGCACTTGGCCATGTGTTGAGATTTTTGCACCAGTAAAGTCAGTGACTAATATAGTAACTCAACCTACCTGTGAAAGAAGTACCACCTGGACTAACCTCCTTCCCATCACCTCAGTCAAATGTTACAGCTCTGACAGTCGTGTACATTAGCAGCGTATTAAATAAGAACTGCTGTCTATATTTAACTGATACATAAGAATTAATTAGCTCTTATGAGACAGTTTTGTTTTTTTTCAAAGTTCTTGCATGATTCTGGGACAGATGTATTTTTATTGTTTAAAAAGAACTAGGATAATTTGTGTCTATTTATTGCCTTTGTTTTCAGTGCCAGTCCTAATTTTTTTTTAGGGGGATGCTTTTTAAAAATGTGACCCCCTCTCCCCTCCGAGAGCCAATAATTCTGTGTGATTCACAAATGTAAAATTTGTCTGCGGTAATCTCTTCTAGAGGTAGCACTGATCTCTTGTTACCGTTCCCACCATTTTATTTCTCCAAATAGAAAACTTGATATGAAGTATAATTGGAAGGCTTTGTTTTGATTTGTTAATAAGCATGCTTATGTAGAAGGCTTTTAAAATTATATTCTCCCTTTATATAATATTTAACCTAAGGTCTTTTTTCTCTTGGAAAAGGGATCCATCCTAATTTGCATCTGTACCCTTTAAAATTGCCCCAGTGAAGAGATGGTGATGGTGAAAAAGCAGGGTCTGGGTTTGGTGGAGCTATTCCAAGTCTAGAGACATGGCTTACAGTTCGTTGGATAAGGAGGGAGATTCCTAGGGGGGATTCTTAGTGTTAGAAGGGGTTTTAGCTCTACCTGGTCCAGTTTCCCAGATGTGTCCCCCTGCATCGCCTCTAGCAGACCATCATCTAACCTTGTGCGGACATGCCCAGCGTTAGCTCACTGTGTCAGGAAGCCGTTTGCGACACCAAAGGACAGCTCTAAACACCACAGGCACTTCCTATATGAAAACAGACTCAGCCCTCCGACTTCTAGCTTTTGTTCTGCTTGGAACTTCAGAGAGTCAGTCTGTTCTCATTCCGAGAAATGTCCTTTAAAATATTCATAAACGTATCTGCCTTAGGACATTCTCCTTCGGGTTGTAACACCTCACTTTGCTATCTGAGTGATGCCTGGACTTCCAGCCATCCCAGTACCCCCCAACCCCACCCCGCCCTTAGACACATTTTACTTTCTTAGTGTCCCATTGAAAACATAGCACCCGGAACTCCAGAGGTATTCCGATGGCAGCTAATTGCAGGATGGCTAGCCTTCTTATTCTGGACACCAAAATTCTGTTAACCTAACTCAGGAGCGTGTTAACTTTTTTCACCAACCTCGACTCAGAGTTAACTCACGTTGAAAACACAACTTCTTGAAAAACTCCCTCTCCCGCAAAACATACACACAGTTCTTATCTCACGTGAATGCTGCCAAGGTTAGCCTTCAGCTAAACCTCTGATTTTTTTTTTATCCTGTATCGACTTATTCCTATATAGTTTCATCTTACTGATTTTTGTACCACCATTCTAGCCTATTGATGTAACACTGATTATTTTATGCCTTTTTTTTAAAAAACAAAACAAAACCACGTTTACTTGTTTTCCTAAGTTGTTGTCATCTGAAGATTTGCTATAATCTATTGCAAAGAAACTTCTAAAGGGCAAAGGACAGGTCTTCTATGACATGCCCCTGAAAATCACTTAAGGTTGACGTGAATTTATTAATCAGTAATCTTTAAAGTTGATGAACCGTCTGTGAACTCACATGACCATGCTATCATGTCACCCACATTCATCTATCCTTTCTCAAGGTTATCAAAAAAAAGCTAAAACCAAGATATACCGTGTTTGTGGCCTCTCCAATCCATCAACCTAGAAACCCTGCCGAAAGGATGAAATGAGGTTAGCTTGCCGCGGCTTTTTCTAAGGGACCCCCTACCGGTACTTAACGATGTCATTTATCTTCTCTCTGTAGCCCTGTGGCATCTGAATAATTTCCTCTAAATTTTGACCAAGGGTCCCCATCAAGCAC